GTTCCCAGCACAGGTTCTTGCAGGTGTGAGTTTCTCTGTGAGTGCTGGTCACCGAAGGTGCTCACGAGGGAAGGAATGAGTTGCTCATAGAGTAGCCAAGGGCCTGGCGGCAAGGCCAGGGGAGTCGACCAGGAGATCTTTGAGGAGGGACCGTGTGGTGGAGGGGCTTCCCCACAGAAGGTGCTGTCTGAGACTGGGGCTGGGAGCCCGTCCCTCTTCCCTCCTTGCTCCTCCCACCTTGGGGAGTAGGTCAACAGAATCCTGAGATAGAGATGTGCTGGCACCTGCTGCCTGCCTACCTGCCCTCCACCTGTGTATCCTTCCTTCCCTCCTCCCTGCCATCTGTCACCCATCCTCTCATGCAGAGTTTATCAAGGCATCTGTTCCAGACCAGGCACCTTACTAAGTCCCTAGAGCCTGAAAGTTTTGGGCAGCTCAGGACAGGACCCTGGGGCTTTTAGGCACCAAAACTCCTTATTTCCTGCTTCTTCCTTGATTCCCCTTGAGATGGGTCTGGAGGGCTGGGGAGGTGGAGAGGGCAGCCCAGGCGGCGTGGGTGGGGTGGGGGTAGGATAATACAGACTATACCTACCCAAGCCGCCTGTGTGTGCTGTGGATCCACTTTCTTTCAGTTCAAGACAACAAAAGGGCAAACATGTCTTTAGGGAGAAAAACAAGAACTTGATCCAGTTGGAGGAGAAACTCACATGGAAGGAAAGTCAGGCCTCGTGTGTACTGTCAGGACCAGGAGCAGGGGCAGGAAGGGGCACCACGGCTTCTCAAGACCTCATCGGGCTTGTTCTCTCTCGCTTCCTTTATTCTTCAGATGGCTCGCTTGCTTCTGCATGCCCTCTGATTTCTGATTGATGCGAAGCTGCTTGCTCTCTCCCTGTCCTGAGGGTCCCGGGGCTGGGCATGATGCAACTTTGGTCCCCAGGAGCCAGGGAGGGCCTGCTTGTTTCTGAGGGGACAGTGAGGGGTGTGGCATGGAGCTGCTGCTGGGGGAGCTGCAGAGCGGCCTCGGGCCTGCCCTCCCTGGGAACTGCCACCCAGGTAGGGGTCAGGGGAGCTCTCTACCCTTCCCCACCGCAGTGCCTGCTGGGTCCAGGAGCAAGGGCCACACAAAGGGCGGTGGAGATGGGGAATGAAGTGGAGAGAAGCATCAGGGCAGAACAGCGGCTGGAAGCCTGGCTCACCGTGGAATTCCATGGGAGACTAAACAGCCTCCTGGGCCTGCTTGGGGTTTCCGACTCGGTGGGTCTTGGCTGGGGTCAGCTCTGCTGTCTGCCCCAGGAAGCCATGGCCCCTGTTTGGTACCCACTTACTAGGAGTCATAAGAGCTGAGCTGGCTCTGCCCGATTGGTGAGAATGAAGGAGAGAATGTCTGAGTAAGAGTGGGTGAGCCCTGGCTCCTCCAGCTCTGAGAGGAGCAGAAGCTGAAGGTTTCTGGAAAGCACTTGTCCTTAGGGCAGAGAATCCAGGCTCCCTCCACGTGGCCTCCAGCACAGGCAGGGCCTGAGGGTGGTGCACACCAGAGGGGGTCCCTGGTTCCCTCAGCTGGGTGGAGAAAGCACAGGACCAGGCAGATGGGCCTTCCTGGCGCGGTTTCTGCCGCTGCATCTCTGCTCCCCATCAGTACCCTTGAAACATGCCACTTTTTCCCCAGAGAACAACAGGATCAATCCCATTATCCCTGCTGCATCCTGTATTACCTTCCTCATGGGACATTTGGAGGGGACAAGAGGATAGGACCACAATCATGACCATCCTCAATCTGCGTGCCAGTCCCTCACTTGCTGTGTAGCCTTGGGCAGACACTCAGCTTCTCTGGACCACTGTTTCCTTATCCAGCACACAAGCCCTGCCGAGATCCTTACCCTGGGACTGGGCCCTGAGCCCGGAGGGGTGCTCTGTCCCTCAGCCTTCCAGCAGATAGCCTTCCTGACCCTCATAGTTTCTCCTCGCCTCATCTGGGTGCCTGGGATTCTGCCAGCCTCAGACTCCAGACTGTGGGAATGGTCACCTTGGAGGGCCGTGCCCCACTAGCACTCAGGGCCACTCTGCTATTTTTATCTGCCACTGGTTAGTCTGTATCGTTGTGTAGGCAGCCGCTCGCCGCAGTTTTGCTGCAGAGTATTACCAACATGAGCTCAGATGGTGACCTCACCAAGTGACCTCAGTCCAATGGAACTGCCCGCCAGGCAGACGGGCACATGGAATTTCAGTTTCCAGTAAAGAGCATATTCTCATTATTTTTAGGAACCCGAAAATGGCTAACAGGCATCAGCAGGGATTGGATGCCTGTTAAAGTAACTTGTTGAAGTAAACTCCAGTGTGTTTACTTACTGGCAGTATCACTGACGGTGATGTACACAGATCCTGAGCATTCCGTTCCCTGCGCGTCTGCAGATCCGCCCCGTAACCAATGCCTGGGTCAAAACTAAAGTACTCCAGCACCCTAGAAGCTTCCCTCCTGCGCTGTCCTGGTTTCTCACAGTGGGTCTGGCCCAGAGCAGGACCTCCTCAGCCAGTCGGCAAGTGTACCATAATGGGACCTGGGGTGGCAGAGCCAAGGGGGCCGCCAGGTCTCAGAGAGGCTTCCTGAAGGAGCGGGGCTGCCCCGTGGAACCCAAGGATTAACTGGAACAATGGTGGTTTCACCAGGCAAAGGAAGCAATAGGGCACTTCCCAAGGCTGCTTTCTGCCCTCCTGGGCCCTGCCCTGAGCTCTGTGGCTCAAAACTGGGTCCACCCCCATTACCAAGTGACTGTGGAGTGCGGTTCTCTGAGCCTGGCTCCCAGGTGCCGAGACCCTGAGACCAGGCAGCTATCTCCACCTGTGGAACGGGAGCGGATCTCTGTCCTGTGACCACATGGCAGACCCGAGGCCTGAAGGAGTCTGCGGGCAGGGTTGTCTGGCAGCCGGTGTCCAATCCTGGCAGCCACCTGCTCCTCCCAACAGTGGTCATTTCTTGAGCACAGGGCACAGCTGCCCATAGTAGCACGGGCCTCACTACTCTCATTGGGAAAACCTGCTCCTCAGCCACCGTCGCTGGCCTGCTTTTCTCCCCTGGGATGGAGGACCTGTCCTTCCCTTGGCCATGTGACTGGGATTTCAGAGTGACCCCAGTGCCACCTGCCTGGGCTGCTCTAGGTGGCCCACTCCAGGCCTTCCCTGGTCCCTCTGGCCTGGTCTTTTCTGGCCCATGGCATCCAGCCACGCCCCAGCAGGGCCCAGGCCTGTGTGGGTCTGACCAGGCCACCTGGAGGCTCATGGAAAGTCCTCACCTTGTGCTTTGTCTGTGATTCTCCAGCTCCAAGAAGCCCAAGAAACATCCCAAAGTGGCTGTGAAAGCCAAGCCCTCGCCCCGGCTCACCATCTTTGATGAGGAGATGGACCCCAACGAGGGGCTCTTTGGCCCAGGCACGAAGCTGTCCCCGCAGGGCCTCTCAGAGGACGCGTCATCCATGGACTGTAAGTAGAGCCCCAGGGTGTGCTCCCTTTGCTCCTGGTGTCCTCTCTGTGCCCAGCCCCGTCATCAGGCAGGGTCTGGACTCACCCAGCGTGAATAGGACCCATATCCCCCCTTTCCTGTCTAGACATGATATAGATTCAGCTTTGGAGGGAGCTCTGCTGGAGGAATTGAGCCTCACACGTGGTTCCCCACAGGGTGGAACATTCCCAGGCCATGGGTCTCTTCTAAACATCCTGCAGAAGAGGAGGATGGTTATCTTTGCTGCTTTGAGAAGTGCTTTCGTGACATCTGTGGGCAGATGTGGGCCCTGGGCTTCCAGGCACCATTTGTGTGAAAAGTGACAGGGCCTGCCTGTGGCATGTGTGTGACTGTAGGTTTGGATTTAATGGGATTCTGTGTCACTGGCACGGATTCCCTGGAGGGCTTTGTGCAGAGTTGGCCACAGGGAAAATCCAGTGGCCTTGGGACATCTCCCCTCATCCCTGGGTCCCTTTCCTCACATGCCCAGGTTGTCCTCTGGTTGGGGGAATTGATGCCACCCACTAATTCAGTCCACACTTGGTGAGCCCTCACCCAGGGCCAGGCCTAAGAACATGCTGAGGAGCGAGACCCAGTCCCTAGCCGGAGGGCCATGGGGTCCCGTGGGGAGACAGGTCATCACCTGACAGTTGCAGAACAGCACGAGTCTATGACAGGCTGAGCAGAAGCTCCAATTCCTGTGGGGCTCCCCAGAAGACCTCCTGGGGTGGGGCGGGGGCCCTCCTTGAGCTGGATCCTGGAAGGTCAGTAGAGTCTGCCAGGCTGGCTGAAGCAGGGGACCCCAAGTACAGCAGCTGTGATCGGCATTCTCCAAGGGCAGCCCCAATCAGCTCACATGCGAGAGGGTGTAGGGAGGAGACCCAAGCTTCCTGAAGGCAGCAGCCACATGCCGTGGCACCCCAGCAGAGAGAGAGAGCAGCCCAAGCCGCTGGGTAGTACTCCGTAAATGCTTGTTGAAGTCCGGGTGCAGTGAGCAGGCGCAGTAAGATCAGCTGGACTGGATGACGAGATCCCTGGCGCAGTGAGCCCAAGAGGATGTAACCTCCTAAGAGCAGCAGGAAGCCCATGAGAACTTCAAACTGGAGTGATGCTGTCGGCCAGCTCTGGCACAGGTGCCGGGCAGCAGAGGCCAAGGCAGACAGCTGTCCCAAGCCTCTGTGAGCTTGTCCTCACCTCCTCCTGCCCTGACCTGGCCCATTTCTCTGGTTTTCTGTCTTATCCCTTGCTCACTCTCTCCTGGGTGCCCGGGGAGGCTGGGCCAGGCCTTCTCCACCTTGTACCTTGGGTAGCTGAAGACAGGCCAGGACTTCCTCTGACTACCCTGCTGCCGCCTTCCCACAGCCCTGAAGCTGTTTGAAGATCCTGACCTCGGCGGGGCTGTCCCCCTGGGTGACTCCCTCCTGCTGCCGACCGCCTGTGAGAGTGGAGGGCCCACGCCCAGCCTCGGCCACAGGGACGCCTCCAAGGAACTGTTCAGGTACCATCTGTCCCCAGTGGCGCTTGGCAGCTCTGAGAGTGTCCTGGACAGAGCCAAGGGCCCGGCTTCTATGGGGCATTGCCCAGCCTTGGCCCCAGCCTCCTCTGTGGGGAGGAACCCAGGGCTGTGGAAGGTAGAAACCCATGGGTGCACACTGGGTGAGAGGTGGCGAAGGGGGCTCGGGGGGGGAACCACAGTCCAGGGCTGCTCAGCCATTTCCAGAAAGAGAGAACTTTGTGTGCACAGCCAGTCTTTCTTTTCACAATCATATTTTAATGGTTTATGTAAATAATTACATAATTGCAAGAGCAGGTTTGGGAACAAATTAAACTGACTCATGGCAGCATGCAGCCCACCCAGAGAGGGAGTGAAATACAGGTGTCCTGGTGATGGCCTCTTCCAGTAGGACCCCATCAGAGGCGAAGTGCAGGTGTCCTGGTGGTAGCCTCTGCCGGGAGGGCCCCATCAGAGGCGAAGTGCAGGTGTCCTGGTGATGGCCTCTGCCGGGGGGGTCCCGTCAGAGGCTTTGACAGAAGCTGTCACATGGAGGTCAACTGGCAGAACCTGTGCAAGTGGCGGCTCCTGTTTCCCGAGCCCTTGCTATGTACGCAGTAAGCCGGACTCCTTACATGCTCTCTTATGTAATCCTCACAACAGCTCCCTAAGGTAGATGCTATTTTCTCCATATTATAAGAAATCGAGTGTGGGAGGCCACCTGCCTAAGGCCACAGCTTTGCTCTGCCCCTGTCCTGGCCTCTCCACTTCATCAGGGTCTGTCTGAGCTCTCAGCTGGGTGATCCACCTCCCCACCAGCCCCCCAGATCTCCCCAGGCCTTTGCCTGCACTGGCCACATTCTCAGCAGGCTCAGTGTTGTGTGTGTCTCCAGCTCCTCCTCCACGCTCCAGGACACAGGGCTGTGCCTGGGATTCACAGGAAGCCAGGCCGCCTCTTTCCAGGAGCCGCTCATGTGACACCAGTGCATGCTGGGCCTGGAGGCTGTCATCTGCACCCCTCATTAGCAGCCTCTGGCTATTACATAGCCCTCCAAGTGCCCACCAAGCCTGAGTCACCGTGATGGCTTCTAGTATTTACATGTCCCCAAGTCCCCTGGCATCTGTTCACTCTCGTCCTGTGTCCTTGTTGCTGACATCTCGGCGGGCTGGGAGAAACCAGGATTGTTGTTATTTTGTTAGAGGGAAACCGAGGCACAGGGAAATGGAATAGTAGAGTCTTCCTGGGGAGCGGCCGGGCCAGACCGAGCATGTCTAGGAGTCCACGTGTCCAGTGGGGTGGCTCTCATGGGACCTTTCTGGCCTAGGTTATTCTAAATCTGTTACTTCCCAACCTGTGTTCTGCAGAACATGGTACCATGGGGTGGTAAAAGGCTACCTTCAAAGGGGTTCTGTGGCCTGATGAGCTGGGGAAATGGCCACATGAAGCAGGGCTCCTGCGGGCTCATATTGCACAGACCCGTACCCACAGCACTTCATGATTTTTTTTTTTTTTTTTTTTTTTTGAGACAGAGTCTCATTCTTATCCCCCAGGCTGGAGTGTGGTGGTGAGATCTTGGCCCACTGTAACCTCCGCCTCCCAGGTTCAAGCAATTCTCCTGCCTCAGCCTCCCAAGTAGCTGGGATTGCAGGCGCCCACCACCACACCCAGATAATTTTTGTGTTTTTAGTAGAGATGGGGTTTCACCATATTGGCCAGGCTGGTCGAACTCCTGACCTTGTGATCAGCCTGCCTCAGCCTGCCAAATTCTTCCTCATCCCTGGGCCCCTCCTCTGGGGTGCCTCTCAGCTCTGGCAGAGCGCTTTGAGAATCCTTGCTCAACAGTGTGGGTCACGCACCCCCACCTTCACTTTAGCAGACATCTGCTAATGAAAGGATTAGCTGCTTTTCTTCTTTTAAATTCAGACCAATTCTAAAAGAGCTTTATCACTAGGATTAGCTTCTTGAGAGCAGAAACCACATACATTCTTTTTGTCTGTCCTGTGACTATCCAGGGAGTAATTGGGCTTCCTCATAATAGAGAACGTTCTGATAGTCATTCATTTATTCCTGCTTTCACCCCTTTGTTCATTCTGTCACTCACCTCGGCCACCCTGAGGCAGCATGGGGTGTACACTGAGCAGGTGGAGGCTGAGAGGCCTTCGTTCCTTCTGGCTGTGCAGCCACACCAGGCAAGGCCTCTAGTCTAGACCTTTAGGCGAGTCTTGTCTTCGCAGGGACCCAGGGAGAAGGAGGAGGCCGGGATCTTAGAGCTCCCTTACCCTCACTGGTTGACCCCACACCAGTGTGGCCTGGAAGAGAAGGGAGCTGGACCTTGCACCAGTGAGAGCCAGTCCCAGTCATGACTCAGAAATAGGGTGTTTGGAAAAGGGGTGCCTTGCAGCCACCTGTATCCTGAGAGCAGCTATGCCACCTCCCACCATGGCTGACCACCCATGTACACCTCCCACCTGGGAGCAAGTCCAGCCGCTGATTAGTTCCAAAGAGTCACTGCTTTGCCCAGCAGGATAATTCTGAAATCTGACATAAGCTTCTAGCAGCTGCTTTATTTTCCAAAAGGCCTCTATTTGAGGATAATTCAGTCCCTTTGAGCTCTTCCTAGGTACCCTCAGCCTTCAGTAGAGGCTGCCTCATGCCAGTGGAGCTGGCACCTGCCCCGGGGAGTCAAGGAAGGGCCGCCACTTGGAGGGAGCTCTGGCACTTCTGACCTTAGGTGACCAGGAGCAGCCTGGCCATGAGTGACCCCTCCTGAAATCGCCTCTACCCCGAGGCAGCTGATCTGTCTATGAAGGCCCAGCTTGGGCTATCTCTGGGTTTGTTCAAGAAGGACACCTTTTATTCATTTATCTGCCATCCAAGCAGACTCTGAATTCTCTCTGGAGTTTGTGCCCTATCACAGGAGGTCAACCCAGGAAGCAGGCAGGATGTCCAGAGCTCCTTCCACAGCTGGCTCCAAGCAGGTACCCAGCCCTGGGGGTGCTGCGCTGGGCACCTCCATACTCACTCAGGCTCTGCCAGGCCTGGTGGTGCCAGGAGTTGTCCTGATCAGAGGCATCTCTCTATCCCTGCCCCTGCCTGGCCCTTCTGATGTCCCCGCCATTGGGATACACTGCCCAGGGCAGGAAGCCTCTGCTTGTGAGCCTGCGTGGTTCTTCCTGTTCGTTCTCATTCCCACCTCCACACCTCTGGTCTCTGCTCCCTTCTCCAGAACTCTATCCCCTATTCATGCCAGGCTCACCCTTCTGAAAAGGCCCACCTTCTCAGGAAGTCTTCCCAGCTTGCTCTGGCCCAAGGGCTCACTCCTTTCTCTGGACTTCACCACCGTCTTTCCAGGCCTTTGCAATCGCGTAGCCCCTGCCTGACGGGTCTGGGGGTGCCCTGCACTGTGGATTGAGGTGCTGCTTTTCTGTGCCTTATTCCTGCTTGCTCAGCCCCTGGGGCTGTCAGTAGACCTCAGTACATGCAGCCTTCCTATACGTTTGGAAACTACTTTCCTTGTGTTGTCTTACTTGATCCTGAATCCACAGGGATTCTGTAAGAATCCCTGTGAGGGTGGTAGAGCAAGTACAATCCCACTTTATAGAAGAAGAGACTGAGGAGCAGGGAGGAGTGGCCTGCGCCGCCTGATGGAGGAGCTGCATGGTGAGGAGCAGAAGCCAGTTCTCCACCCACAGTGCTGTGCTTCCGTGCACAGCTCCGTGCAGCACGGCCAGCTGACACTGTTACTCCTGCTTGTAGATGAGAAGCCGAAGCTTGTAGAGGCTGAGTGGGGGCCAGGTCTTCCTCCTGCAGTGCCTGTGCCCTCCCTCACCTGGTTGCAGCATGGCTGAGCAATACATGCAGAGATGCTCGCTAGGACAAAGGGAAGCCTCTCCCTGGAGCCCAGGTGCCCCAGGCAGGTGAACACACACCAGAGAACCAGCCACATGCAGGCCATGTGTGATCATCCTCACACTAGCTGCGGGTCTCAGGGCAAGGCCCCTCGCCTCTCTGCACTTCAGTTTTCACATCTGTAAAACAGGGCTAATCTCTGCCACCACACAGTGTTTGGAGATTATTAAATGGGTTAGTGAAATGTGGAAATCTCTGGCCCTCATGGGTGTTCAGCGCAGTGCTGTGGGTGGAATGGATTGAATGAGTCTTCCACTGTGCACCTGGTCTCCAGAAATCAAGTTCGGGAGAATCAGTGGCCTGGCCTTTTTCTGGCCATCAGCACCCAGGGATGGTCCTGAGCAGTGGTAACACTGCCAGGACTTTTTTCCTGCCCACCAGTGGGAGATCAGAGGTCTGGGGCCATGGCAGTCTTGATGGGCCCTGGCTGAGGCCATCCTCGGCTCTCGCTGGGCTCTGTCTGGCACCTACATGGCCCACAGAGGGGCACTGTGGGTGGGCCGACCCTGCGCCACCATGGCTCAATGCCCCTGGTGATTCTTTGTCTGGTTGAACTTGCTTTGGATGAGGGCTCAGCTTCTGAGGGCCGATGTCCTGTTCCTTCCAACAAAGGCACTGTCACATGCTGTCCTCTTGGGGTCACTCAGCCTCCTGGGACTCCAGCGTCCTCGCCTGCAGGATGGAAATGCAGTCGTGCCTCCCCAGAGTGGTGTTTTGAGGATGAAATGTGATAACGTGTCTGAAGTGCTTGGCACACAGCAGGAACTCTGTACATAGTAGCTGGTGGTTATTTCTAAAGGGGTTGGAAGGAAAGCCCCCTACAGAAGCCAGCATGTGTCAGGTGGGATCACCTGAAGAGCAACTCTCAGGAGGTTGTGCGGGGCCCGCCCTGTGCCTGCTTTGCTGTGGGTTGGACGGAAGGAGAGCCCTGGCCTTCCATGTCTCCTCTGGATAGAATGTGTGGATGGGCCACAGTGGGATGGGGTGGGGTGGGGCGGGGCCTTGCCTAGACCCAGGCTGGGCTCCCTGCTGTTGCCCAGCCCTGTATGGGCAGTGGCATTGCCTGGGGTCTTGTTCCTTTTGCGGGGTGCAGTGTTATGCTCAGAGTTCCTCCCTGTGGTTCCCTAGAGTTGAAGAGGACTTGGACCAGATTCTGAACCTGGGGGCTGAGTCCAAACTCAAGCCCCAGCCCCAGGCCAAGCCCAAGCCACCAGTGGCAGCTAAGCCGGCAATACCCAGAAAACCAGCTCTTCCCCCCAAAGCGGGCCCATCTGAAGCTGTGGCTGGGCAGCAGAAGCCGCAGGAGCAGATCCAAGCCATGGACGAGATGGACATCTTACGGTACATCCGGGAGCATGCCGCACCGGCCCAGGCCACCCCCAGCCTCTTCTGACCCTTCCATGCTGGCCCCTGGTCCGGCAGACCTGCCTATAGGGACATCTGTGTGAAGGGAGGGGACTGTGCCCCGCAGGGTCAGAACCTCCCCACCCCCAAGGAAGGCCAGGTGGAAGCCAGGGTCACAGCACCCAGAATTGCATTGTTTATTTTCTCCTGGGCAGTGGGGCCACAGTAGAACCCTGCAGGCTGCAGGGGTGGCTCTCACCCTAGGAAGTGGAGCCCAGCTGTCCTGTTCTCCACGGACACGGAAGGGAGGGAGGGTGTGGAGATGCCTTGCCAACCAGGATGCCTTGCCAGCCCCAAGAATGGAGCAAGACACGTGGGGCCCCATTGAGGTATTGCATGGGGCAGGGAAACTTCCTGCCCATGGGTTCTGCCAGCCCAGCACAGACCCAAACTGGGCCTGGGCCTCTAGCCCTCCTCTGCCTCGGTTGGCATAGTAAGAAGGAGTGACCAGAATCCTCCCCTTTCCCTTCCCTAAGCAGTAGCCTGGGTGACTGACTGGCCTGGGCCTGGGGTCAGGGGGAGTCCCCAAGCCAAATTACTCCAGGGTCTCTGCTCCTTGTGGCTTGTGGGGGCCTGCAGGGTGTGGGTGGGTCTCCCAGGAGAGGGGTCCTGAGCAGGAGACTGGCTGTCTGGCGTGTTCTGATGCAAGGGGGCTCTCCTGAGCCCCCTCTTGTTGCGAGCTCTAAACGGAGCAGTCAGGCCCAGCCCCGCCTCTCCGGGTACAGATGGCCCTGCCAGGTCCCAGCTCTTCCTCCCTCTTCCTTTCCCAGGAAAGGCCAGCCCAGTCCATGGCCTTCTTGGGCCTCTGGGCACAGAGCCAGCGTTCTTCATGCAGCTCTCCGCAAACTGGGTCATAGCATGCCCCACAGCTCAGCCCGGGCCTGGGGAGGGCTCCCAGCCTGCGCCGCCCCCCACTGCCAGTGTGGCATGACGCTCTCAGGCGTCGGCCCTGGGGCCTTCGCTGTCCTCAGGGTCTGGACTTGCTCAGTGGCCTTTCACCAGTGGAGCTGCCTTCCCAAGGAGAAGGAGCCATGTGCCAGGGCGGGGCCCGTGCCTTAGACTTCTCCCGATCCCCAGAGCCCTGGCACACAGGTCTGGGCACCGCACAGTGCTTTGGAAATTCCCAGTGAATGAGGTTTAATAAAGCAAAAAATGTCAAGGTGTCTTTCTTGGATATAATGCTTCTTGTTCAGAGCTGGATTTTTGTTT